CACACACACACACACACACTCACACACACACACACACACACACACACACACACACACACACACACACACACACACACACAGCTTTTTCTTTAATCCTGTAAGGCTGGATTACATACCTTACATCTTTAATCCCAGATTCAGGAGGCAGAGGCGAGCTGATCTCTTCCAAGTTCAAATCCAACTATGGTCTACATAGTGAGTTCTAAGCTACTAGTCAGTGTTCTCTGGATGAATAGAACTTATAGAATGAATCTCTCTAAATATAGAAAGGGGATTTATGCCTGGCTGTGGTGGTTTACACCTTTAATTCCGGCACTTGGGAGGCAGAAGCAGGTGGAACTCAGGGAGTCTGAGGCCAGCCTGATCTACAAAGTGAGTCCAGGACAGCTAGGACGGTGATACAGAGAAACCTTGCCCCGAAAAACAAAACAAAACAAAAAGAAGGAAAAAAAGAAAGAGAAAAGAAAGGGGATTTATTAGAATGATTTACAGGCTTTACAGGCTGTGGTCCAGCTAATCTAACAATGGCTGTCTATGAAGGAAAGTCTATGAATCCAATAGTTGCTCATTCCACATGGCTGGATGTCTCAGTTGGTCTTCAGGGTATGCTGGAATTCCAAAGAAGTAGGCTTTAATGCCAGTGAAAGAATGGATTTGCTAGCAAGCTGGCAAAGAGCGAAAGCTTCCTTCTTCCGTGTCCTTTATATAGGCTGCCAGCAGAAGATGTGGCCCAGATTAAAGGTGGGTTTTCCCGCCTCAAAGGATCTGTGTCGAAGTGGATTTTCCCATGTCAAAATAAGCAGAGAGCCCTCGTAGATGTGCCCTCCAGTTCTGGGTTTTAGTTCATTCCAGATGTGGTCAAGCTGACAATCAAGAACAGCCTTCATAGCTACAGTAGAGAAAAACACTCTCCAACAACAAATCCCTGCAAAAGGGGTGCCAGCTGGATGGAGTAGTGGGTAAAGGTACCTGACACCCGAATCTGGTTCTTGAGACTGACGCAAGTGGTAAAAAGAGAGAACCAGCTACCATTACCTGTTCTCTGACCTCACAAGTGCTGTGGCATGCGTGTCTCCCCCCAAAATAAATAAAACGTATATAAAATAAAAAGTCCGATAAGAGGTTGAGGATATGGCTTAGTTGGTAAAGTACAGACACAAGGAGACCCAAATTTCAGTCCAGCAGGGCCTTCCACTCAGAAGGCTAAAGCAGTAGGGTCATCCATGAGTTCAAGGCTAGCCTGTGATACATAGTAAGATCTCGTATCAATTAGACAGTAGGCCACCCTGAGGAGCCAGGGAAATGCTCGAAGGGGCCAGCTTTTTAGGGGTAGGGAACAACTGGGGGGCAAGAGTGGCTCTCTCAGACTGGCAGGCAGCCACAGAGGAGGCTGGAACTGGTTTGTCTGGCTGATGTGCCTTGAAGTGAGTACTCCTTCAGGCTTTCAAGAGGGGGAAGTCAAGCATAGATTTCCTGCAGAGCTAAATCAGATTCCCAGCCCCGGAGCAGGAAAGGCAGCATGCATCCAAGCCAGCCTCCTCCGCACATCTTAAGGGTTTTGAGGGACAATGCGTCAGAATTCTAGGGTGCTTTGCCTGGTTTTGCTTGGCTGTCCTGGTTGGCACAATGTGGGCCTTTGTTTCGGGGCTGGGGAAGGAACCAGGGAACAGACAATATCCCACTCTGCTGTTGTCCTGCTACCCATGATCCTCTAGTTTCAGGAAGTTGAGGATGGGGATTAGTTTAATAATTAAGCTTCCCAGCCCTGGGTATATGTGTGTGGGAGTCCTGCATTTCCAACAGTTCCCCTGGGTCAGCTCTTGGTTGACCAGAGGCTATATTGGCCCATTTCAGAACCCACTTGGCCTTCAGAAGCCAGCGGACACCAGAAACTCAACATGGGACTTGGTATAAATTACTATATGGCAATGACTTGATGATGAGTACAAATAGGCTAGGGGGGCCCTGCTGCTGGAGGTACCCCAGAACTGGAAGGTCATGAGGGTCTCTCACGGGTGTCTGGCCACATGTAGTCTAGTCTGCATACCCTCTGGGCTCCCGCTGGCATACTGGCAGCCTGATGATGCCTGGAGCAGACTGTTCCCAGCCCATAATCAGCATCAACAGGCCCTGGAGGGCAGTGTTCCCTGCATAACCTTGATTTGAGGTGTGGTAGAACTAGCTGGAGTTGGTACCATAGGTGGCAGGAAGAGGGAGATGCGGCTGGCAGGGTGGATTCTGGGTCCCGAGCCCAGTCTGGTCACTGTCATAGCAGGCATGTCACTCAATGAATATCAGATGTAGCCAAAGGGAGCCCTGGGCAGCTCCAGAAACTGAGGGAGAAGTCTGGAGAACAATGTTTGATGTCGTGGAACCAAGAGTTCTGTGAACTTCTGCAGGGTTTTAGGCAGTGTCCCAGCTTCCCCAGATTCCCTGCCCAGCCTTCGGGGCAGCCCCGGGCAGAGAGGTCAGCTTCTACGTACCCTCTGCACTGCCTCTTTTGTGGAGCTCTGTGTCTGCTCCACCAGGCTTTTGTGGCAGGCAAGGTAGAAAACATGGAGGGTAAGGTTCACCTCTTAGGTGTGGCCCCTGTAAAGGTCTTCCTGACCTCAGAGAGGATGTCTGAAAGCTAGCAGGTAGCCTGTAAGCCTGAATCATTACCTTCTTCTTGGCTTAGTTGGTAAAGTACAGACACAAGGAGATAACAGACACATGGACTGTGCCCATCACCCATCCATCCATCCGTCCATCCCTCTTCTCCCTGCCTCTCTCTTCATCTAGCCCCTCCATCTGCTCTCTGATCTCATCTATCTTCACTTAACCACCCAAAGAACAGCCCGCCCTGAACTGTATACTGTGGCTGTGGAGGAAGGCCAGTGTAGACCATGAATGTCTGTGAGAAGTTTACAGCCAATGAGGAATCAGTACGAGGCAGGGTGCACTCTGGGGGATAGTTGTAGTTTTGGTGAGTTGGGCATGTTCGTTCAGAAGACAAAGGGCAGGAGAAATTAGGCTATGGTGGCTGAGAGAACACGATGGGCCAGGTGTCTCCTTCCCAATTCATAGTCCCTCCCCTCAGCTCCCTTACCTTTCATTCCCCTCTCTCCTTGGAGTCACGTGGCTCTCCTGTGGAAATGTAAAGAAATGCCTCTTCATTCCAGATGGAGACAGGCCAGTAGAGCAAAGAAAGAATCTACCCAAGTCCAGATCGGGGAAGCAGTGAGTTGATTGGGGTTGTTTATGAGAGACTCAAAAGGCTTTTATGCTGCTGGGAAGTCTCAACCTGTTTATCTGTCTCTTTAAGAAAAATTACATTTGGGGTTGGAGGGATGGCTCAGCGGTTAAGAGCACTAGCTGCTCTTCCAGAGGACCTGGATTCAATTCCTAGCACCCACATGGAAGATAACTGTTTGTAACTCCAATTCCAGGAGACCTGACACCTTCACACAGAGTATACACGAGCAAAACACCAGTGCACATTAAATAAATAAATAAATGCTTTTTAAAAGTCACCTTTAAAAATTTTTTAAAAATCACTTTGTGTGTGTGTGTGTGTGTGTGTGTGTGTGTGTGTGTGTGTGGGTGTGTGGGGTGTCTGTGTGCACATGTGAAGGTTAGAGGACACGCGATGAGTAGATCTCTCCTTCCTCCAACATGGATCAAGTTCAAGTTGTCAGTCTTGGTTGCAGGCAGGCATCTGTATCCATTTGTATCCATTGAGCCATCTTGTCAGCCAGCTATTTATATTGTGATGTAACTCTGCAATGAGTTACTCCATGTCTTAGTCACTATTCTGTTGCTGTGAAGAGACACCATGACCATGGCAACTCTTATAAAAGAAAACATTTAATTGGAGGCTGGCTTACAGCTTCAGAGGTCAAGTCCATTGTCATCAATGGCAGGGGGCATGGCAGTACACAGACAGACATGGTGCCGGAGAAGTAGCTGAGCCACAGGCAGATAGAGGGAGAGGGAGAGAGGGAGGAGAGAAGAGAGAGGAAACAGGGAGAGAGAGAGAGAGAGAGAGAGAGAGAGAGAGAGAGATTTATTCTGGGCTTGGCATGGTCTTTTGAAACCTCAGAGCCCAACCTCAGCAACCCAGTGGTGATAAAGACCGTGACAGATTCCATGATTGGCACCCCTGGTAGGTTGAAGGGAACCTCCTAAGACAGGTGCAGTCATCTATCCCGGTGCCAGCAGGTCTGCTATTGTTTACCATGGCCTCAGTATAGAATGCCTCCTAGTTTGCATCTCTATGGGCCTAAGCATCTGAATAGGCCTACACTTGCTAGGAGTGTAAGTAACATGTGAGGACAGAGAGTTAGGAGCCAATAGAAGGACAGAAATGGCCTCCTCATAGCCATGGAACCATAGTTAAGAAACAGCCAAGAAGATGCTAAATAAACACGAGACTCTAGTTTTACAGTATGGAACTGAGAGCTCTCTAAAGATGACAAGATGCCTGTGTTTGGTCTTTATCGTCGCTGGGTTGCTAGCAGGTTCCAAGCCCATGCTCCCCCACTCAGGCAGAACCTCATGGCTGCGGTGGCTTAGGGCCACAACAGTTCTGCTAAGGAATCACGCTTGTGAACATGCCAAATCACTTGGGGAACACCAGACTCATGAATTTATCATTAAACAAATGAAGCTCCTCCCCTGGATCTTGAAAAGGTACACCCACGACGGGGCGGGCGCACTGAGTGACCTGTCACTCAGCCACAGCCTTGTCCAGGTATTTTGCCACAGTGAGGACTGGACCTGTCCCCTGCTTCAGCTCAAGCACAGTGCTCTCTGCCTGTGACACAGCCCACTTCAAACTGCCTCCTCAGAGGCGTGCACCGGACATCTACGACCTCCCTGATCTCCACAGGCTTTCCCGGGTCCTCCTCAGCTCTCTCCTCAGGAAAGCTGTCCTGATGCCTCTTTGTGACCCTTCCCTAGCACTTTTTTTTTTTTTTAAACAGTTTTCTGTGTAGCTCTGGCTGTCCTGGAACTTGCTCTGTAGACCAGGCTGGCCTCAAACTCACAGAGATCCGCCTGCCTCTGCCTCCTGAGTGCTGGAATTAAAGGCGTGCGCCACCACTGCCTGGTGAGCCCATATTTAATCAGTGTGCATGCGTGTGTGTATTACTGTGTCACATGTGTCACTGAGAACTAATATTAATAACTAAGATTGGAATAAAATAATCTGATTGCGGATGGCCACGCCATTAGGTAAAATCTGGGCTACCCCGACAAATCACAGTCAGTGGAACTGACTTGTGTGTTGAGGCAACGAGCCATCCATGTTTCTGACACTGTGTGCTCGGGGCTCTTTTTAAGTAATCTTGGGGTGGAGAGAGGAACCTGCCTCGCTAGGGGCATTACTAGGTCCACTCTCTTGAGAGTGTCCGGTGGGTTGTCACAGCTGCTCTGCTTCATAGTGACAGTCATGTACTACTGACCACATCAGTCCCTGCAATCACCTCTGAGCTCTTCCTGTCTGTCTAGGACTCTCTGCGTCACTGCCAGCTCATCAGGTCTCCAGGGCGGGGACTAGGTTGTTGTGTTTATCAAGGTGACTCACTGTTTGACACCTGGCATGTGTTGGTTGCATGCACCAGGAGCCTGGACAGCTGGGCTGCTGTCCAGAAGTAATGACAGTTAGGGCAAAGCAGGTGGACAGTGGCCAATGGTCCTGACTGTGACAGTAGAGGAGGGGACACCAAGACTGGATGTGGGGCAGAGAGAGAAAGACGTCCAGATACCTGTGAGGCCTTGGGCTGCAGTGTCAGGGTGGATGACCCTACTCCACTGGCAATGTGGGACGGAAGGGGCCCTGTCCTCTCCTGCGAGAGGTGTATGTTTTAGGCTCCCTCACTAACTAAGGGCCTAACTTCTGGCCCAGCTGCCTCTCCAGGGAAGACCCATCACCTCCTTCAAGACCCTCTCTCTCTGCTTCTATGAATGGATTTGGCTGGCAATTCTGCAGGAACACAGCTGGAGCTTGCTCTGTGTGCTCACAGATTGTGGGTGCCCTAATGGAGGCACGGGAAGGCCAAAGGGCTTGTCTCAAAGCCAAGTGGCAGAGCTGGGATTTGAATGCAGACAGGTCAGCTTCTAGTCACATGCTGAATCGTATCGCTCTACTGGATGAACAACAAGGTTAGCCTTGGACAGGCTACTTCTAGTGTCCCTTCTCTGTCTCCTCTTTGCCCTCTGCCCTCTGGCCTCTGCTGTGGCAGCTAGCACTGCCTACTCACCTAAAAGCAGACTAACTGCCGGGGTGAGGGGTCATCCCTAGTTTGAAAATAGCCTGTTCAAGGCCGTGTACAGATAACAGGAAAACAGGTGGACACGTGGCCTCCTGCTGCCCTAAACCTAGGGTCATCCAGACAGAACTGCCGGGTGCTCCATGTCACCATCCCCTTCCCTCCATTCTGCATCACTCTGACCCCGAGGCTGGCCCCCAGGTCACTTTGTAGGGCTGCAACCTGGGTCACTGGGCCTCTGAAAGGAACTAGCAAGGTTGCCATAGAGACAAGGTTGCATTCCCTCAAGGGCTATCAGAGAAGATGGCTCTAAGATAGTGGCTGCTCAGGCAAGTCCGCTTTGGGGTCTTGGTGGCTCCATGATTAGAAGAGGCCCTTGCTCCCCTTCCCTTTCAGGACTGGAGGTAAACTGTAAAGTGGGGTACACATACGAGGGGGTGGTCACTGTTTATGCAGTCACTGTGAGTCGTCAGAAGCCAGGCATAGTCTGAAACCGGAAATAGAGGCAGACCTGCGTCTGGGGTTGGCCGTCTCCCATGACCCCTCACATGCTTTCCCGATGCCGGGGTCATTGGCACCGGGATCCTTGCGGGCTGTGTGAATGTGGGCATCAAAATAGCTTGTTTGCAGCCTTGTCTCCGCCTCCTCTCACAGCTATATCTGATCTGCGGAATTGATAGGAGCTGGCCAGTGTGGCACAGAGAGAGACCGGAGTCCTTCCCATTTCCTACGCTGTCCATGGATTTTGTTGCTGGGGCCATTGGAGGTACGAGACAGGGATAGAGGGGCGCAGGAGTTGGGGAGAGCTGGGGATGGTGCTTTTGTGTGTGTGGTAAGGGGGAGAGAGCCCTAGGCAGTTGGGAATCGAGCGGCCCCCGGGTGTGGGCAATGGAGGCTGAAGGAGAGGCATGTCCCCACACATGGCCTTGAAGTTCAGGCAGGATGCAGAAGCATCTAGGGATCCCTGGCTTGGGAACAGAAACTTGTCCCTGTGAGGTTAGGAGATGGCTGGGGTCCTTAGTTGGGTGAATGAGCTCTGGGGGGTGGACAGAAGGCTCGTGTGAAGAATAGTACACCCAGGAGTTCTGTTGCAGGGAGCGGCAACTAAAAGATAGAGCAGGCCGGGTTGGGTGGTTTCTCTGGTCCATTGATGCCTACCAACATCTGGTCCCTGATGGCTGAAACTGTTCTCTCCTGGGGAGAGGTGACAGAGGTGAGAGGTGGCTGCCCACAGGGACTCCATGGGCCATCGATCCTCAGGCTGTGTAGCTATTTTAAGTGAAGCACCCTTGGCCCTGCAGCGCTTGTGAAATAGCTGTGGGTGGCTTTCTCACTGCTGGAAACGACCTGGGGACCAGAAAGGAAAGACATAACCAGTCTCTGGAAGACTGGGTCCTGGCCCTGCCTGAGGTTGTCTGGGGTCTTGAGCTGTACCATACCAAGTTTGGCTGCCTCTTGGAATGTTAGCACCACAGAAGGCCACACCCTCGTCATAGCCACAGGAAAGGCCCTAGTGATGGGGTCCTTGCTCTGTGCTTGATTTGGGTACCAGGTCCCAGGGACTCAGACCCATGCCTTTCCTTTAAGAACTCTAGATGTAGAGGTGGCCATGGCATGTGGGGCATAGCAGCAAGACCAGGTGACACAGGTTCTGATCAACATGTTTCCAGGCAGAGGCAACCAAGAGCACGGTAGGAAGGCATGAGAAAGGAGGGCTTTGAAGGACAGATAGGAGTTGGTGAGGGCTTTGAGGGATACATAAGGGATACAGAGGAGTTGGCGAGGTGTTTGAGAGACATAGAGAGCTATTCTAGCCAAGTCTCCTGTCAGGCACTTGCTTTATACCCTCTGGTCCCCCACCCAGGCATTCAGTCTTCTACTTGAACCCATCCCAGGACACAACCCACGGGCATTGTCATCCTTCATGGTGTCCTTAGCATCCTTGCTCCAGGTTAGAAATCCCAAGGCCCTGACTGGCTCCTCAGCTTCCTCAAGGCTAGGCTGGCTTTAGATGTGGAGGCTGGAGCTGGACTGGCAGGGCTAGGAGGGGAGTGTGGATCTCCTGGTCCAAAGCCAGGGTGGGCACTACGGGCCCCTCTGCAAGGTGTCAGCAGCCCTGTTTCCCACTGTCTTCAGTTAACCTACTCAATGCAGAGAATGATTACTTAGCGGGTGGTTCCCGAGACTATGACCACCAGGTGGCCCCAGTGCTTGGGCCTTGGTGTGAGTGTTAGAGGACAAACTTAGGGAGTTCTCTTGGCCAGGAAGTCAAAAGGCAAGGGGGTTTCGATTTCATAGTCCCCTCTGAAATGTGACCCTAGTGACTTAAGGACCTCCTGTGGGCTCTGCCAGTCCCACATATGGGCCTCTGGGGGAGTCTGTCTGTCCAAACCACAGCAGCGAAACAGATCCTGTCCCACACACATTGACTGTGGTTCCAGGCGATCCTGGCCCTTCAGGGACCTGGGTGGGGATCTGGGCTGTTCCCTTGGCCTTTACTTAGAATGTGTTCCTCCCCCATTCCTGTAATATGTGGGTGTCCACCTGGCTCCCACACAAACCCTGCACAGGTGAAGCTTGAGGGCGAAGTTTGCCTGGCTCAGGGACAGGGTCAGCTAGTGCGGAACTAGACGTTCTCCCAAAATGTGATGTCAGAGGGGTGGCTGAGGGATGTCCTTGGCCTGGGCAATGGGGATTCCTGGCACTGGTGGGCCAGGAAAGGGGTTGGGAGATAGTTAGCAAGCTTGGCAGGTGCATCCTGGGCCTTGATTTCTCGGCCTCAGATAGGAGGAACCCAGGTGGGGGCAGTGGGAGGTTGGAGAAGGGGGCTTGCTTAAGGCCCCCATCCCCCTTGGGATGGGTGGGCTCTCACTGCTGACGGCCACCTCCCGGTGCCTCACTGGTTCTTCTGATTGCCTTGCAGGAGTCTGCGGTGTTGCTGTGGGCTACCCTCTGGATACAGTGAAGGTACAGCAAAGCCCTACCTTGGTTTAGATTACACTCAGTGGCTCCTGTACACGGCTCTGGTCCTCAATTAGAATGCTAACAGGACTCAGACCTCTCCTACTCTAATACCTTCAATGGCTCCCTATGGCCCTTGGGACTGTCAGTCTCTCTCACCCTGTGCCTCAGGGGTCTCTTTTCACTGTCCTTACTCAGTCTAAAGCAGTATGCCTGACGGTCACGGGGCTTCTATTGCCTTTGCCCCAGGCCTAGGGACAGCTCTTCCTGAAGCCTTCTCCCTTTCCTGTAGGTCAGGATCCAGACTGAGATCAAGTACACAAGCATCTGGCATTGCATCAGGGACACATATCGTCAAGAGCGGGTAGGTCTGGGGCGTGATTAGTAGGGTGGCATCAGGGGCTGGGACTTATCAGTGCCTTTCCCCTTCAGCCCTAGCCTCTTTGCCCTCCAAACAGGTGTGACTGTGCCCAGTCCCGGGATCCCCAGTCCCAAATTCTGAGCACTGGGGACCCTATATGGTACAGAACCAGTCCCTGTCTCCAGAGGAGGGGACACAGGGGAGCCTGGGATTCTGAAGGCCAGGGAGGAGCCCATCCAGGGGAAGGTCTTGGGGACCCTTACACAAATGAGCTTGGGACTTGGTGCAGGCAGGGATCAACTGAGCATCATGTTGGTTCCACCATCATGGCCAGTCAGCTGTCTCTTCAGGCCCTCAAACATCAGGGCAAGTGCTAAGATCCCGAGGGTGGTGTCTGGAGGCATCATCAGTGGCAAGGGAGATGGTGGTCAGTCCCAGGTGTCCCAGAGTCTATCTTGGGTCTTGTTCTTACTTGGTCCCTATCCACTAGGTGTGGGGGTTCTACCGGGGCCTCTCACTGCCTGTGTGCACGGTGTCCCTGGTGTCATCTGTATCTTTCGGCACCTACCACCACTGCCTGGCTCACCTTTGCCGCTTCCGGTACGGCAGCACTGACGCCAAGCCCACCAAGGCCGATATCACGCTCTCAGGATGTGTTTCTGGCCTTGTCCGGGTGAGTAGAAGCGGAGGGCGGAAGGGCATCAGAGATACCCAGGTAGTTTGAATCATACATGTCTGCCAGCAGGTGTCAAGACTGAGGCTCTGTGAAGGTAGAGCCTACAGGGCATGGGGACTGTGGTGAGGAACTAGTCTCCTGCCTGGGATGGCCTAGGCTCCTTTTGGTGTCCCTCCTAGTATGCTCCAGTGGAGAGGAGGGGATGGCCATAGAGACCCCCGTCAGGATGTGGGGACCCAGTGAGACAGCACTCAGATGTTTCTGACCAACCAGCTGGGAGGTCTCCATCTTCAGGGTGTCCAGCAAATGCCTGAACACCACCTTGTGTTACCATGGACACTGGCATCCCTCATCCTCAGTGGAGCTAGACCATCAGGCACCACAGATGGGAACAGGGCAGGCAGGTGCAGCTGAGGTCCTTCATTGGCCAGGATGGAACGTGGATAAATCACTCACTTGCTCCTTAATCAGAGCCTCCACGGGCTGAGGGGCTAAGTGTTATACCCGCTACACACAGTGCAGAGATAAAAGGCCGATAAGCCTAGCTAGCCAGGCTTGACTCTTGAGCCTCTCTGAGCTGCCATCTCATCTGTAAGAGGTATGATGAGAATTAAGCGAGACCGGAGGTGTAAAGACCCCAGTGCAGCCTGATCCATTTGAGTCCCACAGTGACCACCATGCCATGCCTTTAGCAATATGACTACAGTGCAAACAACTGTGTGTGTCAGTTATGCTCTTGAATTTAGTCACGTTTACTTAGCACCCGGTATGTGTCAAGGTAGTGTTCCCAGGTAGGAGAGATGAAGGAGACCTTGGCTTCAGCCTTAATTCGGCTGAGCTGGCTTTCAATCCAGCACCATCAACACCCTGGGGCCAGCTCTCAGCACTGGGTCCTAGAGCCGATGGGAAGGCTGGGTCTTTGAGTGTGTGGGCAGGCTATAGGCATGCCCTAATCATGCTTCTTCCCTGTCTCAGGTGTTCTTGACATCGCCCACTGAGGTGGCCAAGGTCCGCCTTCAGACACAGGCCCAAGCTCAGACACAGCAGCGGCGGCCCTCAGCCACCTGGACATCAATGGCCCCTGCTCTGTGTCCTGCTCCTGCTGCGTGTCTGGAGCCCAGGCCCGCATACCGTGGACCGCTGCACTGTTTAGTCACAGTGGCCCGAGAAGAGGGACTTCGGGGACTCTACAAGGGCAGCTCAGCTCTGCTCCTTCGTGAAGGTCACTCCTTTGCCACTTACTTTCTCTCCTATGCCATGCTCTGTGAGTGGCTCACCCCTGCTGGCCATAGCCGGCCAGGTGAGTGACAGGCAGATGGTGGGGTTGACCAAGTGGGATGGGGCCAGGGAGAGGAATCTGCACAGTGCAGCTCGCAACACTGAATCGAGCTAAGCATCTTTATATGTGTCTGCCTTACTTTTCAAGTAGGGTTTCTGAGGTGTGTGTGTGTGTGTGTGTGTGTGTGTGTGTGTGTGTGTCCAAGGCCACACGGCTGTGATAGAGGGGTTTTTCTTGACTTGGTGTTAGTGAGATGTCCTGGGCTGGGGTCCTGTCTCTGAGAAGCTTGCAATAAGGTATGGTCACTGTCTCTCTTGCAGATGTCCTAGGTGTGCTGGTGGCTGGAGGCTGTGCTGGGGTCCTGGCCTGGGCCGTGGCCACCCCCATGGATGTGATCAAGTCACGCCTGCAGGCGGACGGGCAGGGCCAGCAGCGCTACCGGGGCCTCCTGCACTGTGTGGTGACCAGTGTGAGGGAGGAGGGCCCCAGGGTGCTCTTCAAGGGGCTGACACTCAACTGCTGCCGTGCCTTTCCTGTCAACATGGTGGTCTTTGTGGCCTATGAGGCTGTGCTTCGGCTCACTCGGCGATTGTGCACATAGGGGCCACCAGTCAGTAGCAGCCAGTCTCAGCAGCTGGAGGCATGGTGGGTTTAGGACCCCACAGGGCTGTCACTGGGACAGCAGAGGGCCTTCTGTGCAGTGACTTAGGTGAGGCCTGCCAAGCTGCTGACCATAAAGTCACGAGTCAAGGTTGTGTAGGTTTCCTGGACGAGAACCTGTCACTTGGAGTCATTTGTCACCGAGCGACTGTTCATTCTTGAGTGTACTAGCTTGTCTACACCCATGGCTTCAGAGCGTACCCTCACCAGCACCAAGTGCTCGCCAACCACAGTTCCAGTCAACTTCCACGGATTCACGCTGTCCTCTTAAGAGACAAGTGAGGGACCAGACGGCAAGCTGAGCCATCTGGCTACAGGCTGGGCTTGTCCCGTCTTAGGCTGTCCTCACTGGCTGAGGAACTGGTGTGGTGCCTCACTGGGTACCCACAGTCACACTGCTTGCCACACGAAGACCCTGGAAATTGGGTCACGAGTGGCTGTCAATAAATGTTTCTGAGCTTGCTCAGCGCTGCTTCTGTGTGATCTGTGGGGTACTGGTCTTCCTACCTTGTGTTCATCCGGTGTGCGTCACTGTGAATCCTGTCGGCTCATGGTGGGAGAGGTGGTGTGAGACCCTGACCCTGATGGCTAAGAGGGACCACAGTTCTTGAGTAGCCAGATGCTCATTATGTAGAGGGTGGCTGTGAAACCCTGCATGGTGTTTTTTTTTTTTTTTTTTTTTTTTTTTACTTTTTGGGCGGTGTAGTCTGTTATCTGTGTCATTACCAGGCTGTACGCCTGGCTGGAGCTCTGCACCCAGGGTGAGAAAGTGCGGGGTAACCATTCAAAGGTCTTATGAGCCAGTGGCTTGGAGAGCAGGGTAGGCTAGTGTCTGCCCTCACACCCCTCTCACACACAGTGGGATCTGCCTGTGCTTATGAGACCTAACTCCCTCTTTGGGCACCCTGTGGCTTCCAATGACAAGCCGCTGGGGGTCAAGATGGCAGTACAGCGTCGGCCACTGGGTCTTGACAGAACAGCCCTGTGGTAAAGCTGGCTGGTACCCAGCTCTGTCACACATGCTCACATGCAACGCCTGGCCATGCATGCATCTAATGGTCTCATTTTCTTTGTCCAGTTTCTAGGAGGGGCAGGATATGTTCCTGGGTCTGCTCTTGTCATGCAGGTCCTTTGGCAGCAGATCTTTATGTCCAGGGCCCTTGCCTGCAAGGCCTCTCCTAACCCTAATGTCATCTCTTATGCCTCCCCTCCTCCAGGAAGGTCTTCTGGTCTCCCTACCAGGACATGGCACCCGGCCAGCTGGCTGGTTGCTTATCTGTTCCATCTCAAAACTGGGAGCTGCCCAGGACCTCTCCGCCTCTGGTGAACAGGGGAACCAGAAGCTCTGCAGTGAGGCCCTGGTTATGATGAAAGCCAGAGAGCTTTCTTGTGGGGTTGGGAGTCTTCTACAGGGACAGGATTTCAGCAGGTCTCCAGCTGCAGCCTGGAGGGAGAGCTGGTCCAGCCACCCTCGGCAGGTATCTAGGAGAGGCACACACACAAGATATAGCTAGTATGGACTACTTTCCCTGTATCCTCAGAGTTACTGTCCTCGTGGAAATCAGTACGGGTCTGTGAAGAGGTACTCATCACAGGGTGCTGTGGGCTTGTTAAAGTGTTCTCTTCACTCAGTTTGGATCAAGCAGTCCTTCAGCCTTTGGGTTCTCTTCCGGTTTTAGTAAGGTTTCTCTTAAAAAGGTGTTGGTGTGCTCTCCCACTTTCCTCCCGTGCTTCAACCCCGACTGAGCACGCCTTGTCTCTTGAACTGCAATCCTGAAGTCCTTTTAGTTTTAGTGCCTGAACTTGAAAGTTCACCTAGTTCAGAGAGATCAAGATGATGGACATTCTGGGCCAGTACCTAGAAAAGGACAACTAATAAAAGGGCTTAACAATTTACCGACTCTGTCAGGGCCACTGGTACCCACTCATTCTTTTTTTTTTTTTTTTTTTGGGGGGGGGGGTTTGGTTTTCAAGACAGGGTTTCTCTGTGTCACCTTGGAGCCTGTCCTGGAACTTACTTTGTAGACCAGGCTGGCCTTGAACTCACAGAAAGAGACCTGCCTTTGCCTCCCTAGTGCTGGGATTAAAGGTGTTCGCCACCAACACTCAGTTTTTTTTTTTTTTTTTTTTTTTTTTTTTTTTTTTTTTTTTTTTTTATTTTATTTTAGAGACCTTCTTACTATGTAGTCTTGGCTGGCCTGGAACTTGTTATGTAGACCAGACTGGCCTCAAACTCAAAGGTCTGCCTGCTTCTGCCTCCCAAGGGCTGGGATTAAAGGTGTGAACCACCACAACTGGCATGTCACTAATTACATTGTGGAGGTGAGCTCAGACAGCACACTCTTGCCTCTGATGTTCCCCGCACAGGGTCATGGCAGATGCTCTGCTTCCTGTTAACCCCGACTGCTGATCTGTTGACCCAGCCCAGGTCTCTAGGCTGCCATTGGTGGGGGAAGTGACTTAGCAGGAAGGGCCTGGAACTCAACTACATATCACTGGCTTGCCTCAAATTCTCATTGCCTTCCTGCCTCAGCTTCCCAAGTGCTGGGATACCAGGTATAAGTCAGCCCCCTGGCCTCCCTGCCGCTGCCAGAAGTAAAGAATCAGAGGGAAGGGGCTGGCTGTTCCAAGTAACACACTGGGGGAGAGCTCCCACATGGTGTGCTGGCTGCAGACCTATGGATCCGGGAGAAGGGGTGATAGTGTGACCCTGGAGTTTCCCCAAGGCCTGTTTACCCCTGGACATACTGCTCTAGATGGGAGCTGTCACCTGCACCTGCGTGATGTGGACACCACTCAGAGTGAAGGCTGTTCTTCCTGGGAAGTCTCTGGACCATTTGGTATTGGACACATCCCCAGGCTGAACCTTTCTCTCAGGGAGCTCAAGAATCTGCTGGTTTCAGCAAAGGTAGCAGTGGGTGTCGACGGCCTGCAGCTAGCTACCCTGCCCTTACCCTGACTGGCAGCAGCCTTTCATATCACCTCTGTTGCCTTACATGGAGGAGATAGAGCTCCTAAGAAGTCAGGTGACTCCCCCAAAGTTGTGGCTGATGGCAGGAGGGGGGCTGGCCTGGGTGCTCACTCCTCCCTGGGTCTGGATCCTAGCTAAGCTGTCAGATGCTCTGGCTGGGTGGACAATGACAGCAACACCTCTCCGTCTTCTGCACACCTGTATGTCCCATGGGTACAATGCACTACAAGTGATTCTGGTCATTCTGGATTACAGTGAGAGCAAGGCCGTGCTCTGCATCTGTTTTACTACCCTGGCCAACAGCAGCCAGTGTGGCCTGTCCAGTGGGACGGGGCCTCGAGAAGAGCCTGCATGAACTTCATGCCATACTCTGGCACTCTCTTGGGCTCTGAGTTCAGGCACTTGGCCTGCCAGGGTATGAACCTCAGTGTTCTCAATGCTGAGTCAGAACAGACTGCTCAGTAACAAATTCACTGTGTGACCTTAGACGAGTCATAGTTCCCTCCAAGTCCTGTTTCCCCACTTGTAAATGAGGACAGGTGGGTAAGGTGAAGGGGGCGCCATTATGACTGGGTCTCCCCTGGTCCCCCAGCGGCCCCATTTCTGCCTGTGCTCATCATTTCAGCATCCCCTGAGCATCGAGGTCTCGGCAGACAGGACATCACATGCCCATGCTCTCTTTAGGTGGCTGGAGCATCAAACAAGGCAGGAAAGCAGTCGCAGGGAGAGGGTAGCTTCTCAGGACAAGCGGACGGCACAAAAACAGTCGGGGGGGGGGGGGGGGGGGCGGCTGCCCCTAAGCACCATGGGATTTCACAGCTCCACATTGCCTGTCCCCTACCTCTCTGACAAGGGGAATGGCTACAGCCCCAGCATGTGTGTAGTGTGGCTTAGGGGCAGTAAGTTCAGGCACGTCTGCAGCCTGCGTGGAAGACAGCAATGAAGGCAGGAGCACAATAAAGTTTATTTTTGCCTGAAAGTGATGCAAGAACAGAACACTCATGAGTAGCCTTGGTGCCTTCAGAGAAGGCAGACACGTCAACCAGGGGCTTTCCCTGAGATTCGGCTTCTGCTTTGCCAAGACTCTGAGTGGTGGCTTGCTACACATGGTCAGCCCAGAGGGAGGACACCAGGGCCTGGGCAGCTGCTGTTCTTTCCTGTCTAGCTATAGTCCACCGGCCTGGGGTACGGCCAGCGCACTGTCTGTGCTGCCCTCCACTTCAGTCAAGTGTCAAAACAAAAGCATCTGCAAAGGCAACAGACTGTCCTTAGAGTGTGATGGTCAGGAGAAGTCATCCCTGGGCCATTCTCAGAAAAGTTAGTACACTAAGGGTAACAAGCATGATTCTGGAGTGGAGAACATGTGTGATCTGGAGTTTAGCAACCTCAGCCTGAACTTTCACCCACAAGACTCAGGGTAACAGAAACGGTCCAGCCTGGGGTCCATAATCAGTGTTAAAGGCAGCGTTGTGAGCTGAATGACCCCCCACCCCACCCTCTGCTGTGACACTGAACACTGAACCCAGGACATCATGCATGACAGGCAAGTGCTCTACTACTGAGCTACACCTACAGCACAAAGCCGAGCACTCCCTAGTCAGTGTAAAGCAAGGCTTACATATATCATATGTAAACTTACATATATCATATGAGAGAAAGAGAGAGAGAGAGAGAGAGAGAGAGAGAGAGAGAGAGAGAGAGAGTGTGTTGGTATGGGCTCAAACACAGCATCTTTGCCCACTAAATGTCTCCTCATCAGTTTTGCACAGCAGTTTGTAGTTTTGCAATAATCACATTCTGACTCCATAGACTCAGAATCAAACACAAATAATGACAGGCTCTTGCTAGGTAGCTCAGGCTGGCACAGAACTTGTGCCTTTGCCTGCTGAATACAGAGATTATAAGGTGTGTACCACCATGTGCAGCATACACACTTAAAAAAAAAAAAACTAATAGACTTTGGGAATTTATGTGGAACCGCAGGCTGCTGGATGGACAGTCCTGTGTGGGCTCTTTGTGGGAGGCTCTCGTCTGGGTTGCTATGGGACCACACAGCATCAGTGGACACCAGGCAGACAGACACCACAGAAGAGACAGCATCCAGAATGCACAAGGGCAGAGAGACCCAGGTCCAGGAATTAACACGTGAAGAAGCCTACAGGAGTGTGACCTGATTTGATGGGGCTGGGATTATTGATAGATTTTGTCTTTCTATGCACACAGAAAAAAGCATTACTGAAAGTGGAATGACAGCTGCCGGGGAGTCATGAACTCCTTCACGGTTTCCTCAGTGACCTCCTTGCGTCGGGCCTGGTGCTCGGCGATCAGGGGCTGAAGGACATCTATGAGTGTCTTCTTGAGCTCCCCAGTGAGCATGGCTCCGCTGGTGTAATCCTGCCAGGAAGTCGGATGCTGTAAGCAGTGGCTCTGAGTGTTCCAGCCCTCCCTACCTTAGCTCTAATTCTGCTTATGTCCCTTTATGAGCTATGCTGAAAGGGTCACAGTAACCTGGGTCTTACAGGACATTAAAATGTCTGTTTCTTGTGCCTTGGGCTCTTTTCCTCTGGTTTGTTTTGTCCAATTCTGACGTGTTAGTTTTTGTTCTAAGTTATTATATTATACTTGGTTATTATCCGCAGAAGTCTGTTTTCTAACGAGACACAGAAAGGGAGTGGATACAGAAAGAAGTGGGGAAGGATCGGGAGCAGCAGAGGGAAGGAAAGCATAATCACAGTCGATGATGTCACCACAAGAGAAAGGAGAGCTGAATGCGGCTCCCAGCCTTATGGCTTTCCTTCCCAATGGCGCAGCTCTTCAAGTAGACAAAACAAAGACCCAGAACTGAGGTGGCAGAAGGCTGGGGAAACTCGCCTCCAGCTGCACACCACAGGCGCTAACCACTAATGTGAATGGCATATTTCCTTTCAGAATTTTTCTTGTGAATATAAACTACTCTCTCTCCTCACTGCCTCTTTCTTTCCCTATAACTGGCACTGGTTCTGCTGTCACCAAAAACCCAAGCACTCAGGAGGCTGAGGCAGGAGGATTGTCATGAGTTTAATGTAAGCCTGGTCTTTATATGGATTTCCAGGCTACACAGTGAGATTCTTAAGCACTAACAACCAAAGAAATTAACAGAGTAGGCAGTGTATCTGCAACAATTCTCACCTGGCTGCCAGGCTGGACAGAGTGTGCACGAACCTTTTTCTGCTACTGTTTCTGTATGAAAAGCTGTTTTCTATTCCACAGGATTTTCTTGGAAAAGACTCCAAGGCCAAGGCTCTGCTTGCCCTCACCAGCTCACTGAAAGGCTGTCCTAGGACCAGGGACACCTACATTCCTCCCCCCACAAGAAAGACAGACCTCTTTATGCTCTCACTTTTGTGACCTAATCAAGGGTTCTTCCTACGTGGTTAAAAATCTGAGTGATCTTACTCAGTTTTTTGTTTTATATATGGAATGCTTCATGGGTTTCGTGTCATCCGTGAGCAGGGGCCATGCTAATCTTCTCTGTATTGTTCTAGTTTTGGTATGTATGCTGCTGAAGCAAGCACTTGTTCTATTTTTTTAGGTTCTCTCTCTCTCTCTCTCTCTCTGATTTATTTATTATGTGTACAGTATTCAGTCTGCATGTATCCCTGCAGGCCAGAAGAGGGCACCAGATCTCATACAGATGGTTGTGAGCCACCATGTGGTTGCTGGGAATTGAACTCAGGACCTCTGGAAGAGCAGGTAGTGCTCTTATCCACTGAGCCATCTCTCCAGCCCCCTGTTCTATTTTTTAAATACAGCGTCTTGCTGCGTAGCCCAGGCTGGCCTGGAATCTATAATCTTCCTGCTTTGATCTCCTGAGTAGCTAGGTCTAAATAAGTCTGACCTTACTTGTATGGATTGAGCCACTGAGGATGCTCTAGCAATGCACAGGGCCTGGCTGGGCTGTCAGGCTCATGTGGGTGGGTGGCAGGGCTGGGTAGACTCACCTTTCGGATCTGTTCCAGCCTGTCGTCATCTTCAAGGAAGAAGGTCAGGTACATGAAGGACACGTCCACTTCACAGTTGCCCCCAAACTGCCTGTGCTCCTCCACGGTGTCTCTTCCACCAGAAAACGCGTGCTTGTTCACCTGCACCGGCACAGAAGCCAGTCAGAGTGCTGCCCTGTCCCTGGATGTCGGTCACACTAGTGACTCATGGTGAAGGGCAGGGAGGCAGGAGAGCGGTTCTTTGACAACTGAGTTACAGAACAGTCCAGAAACCAAAGCACACTGGGCTAAAAATTGAGGAAGAGCCCAAGCCCTCTTCAGAGCTGGTGACCAGCAGAAAGGATGGCGGGTAATGCTGTATCCCTAGGTGGTAAAAAGCAGCCCTTGGCCACATACATGTACACATGGTCAGGAGGAGGCAGCTGAGGGAAGTGCTACTCTCAACATGTGGTGGCAGGAAAGGCCTGTAGGGTTGTCTCCACCCGGACGGGTGATGTGTCAGGTGGTTAAGAAAGCCCCAGATGGGCTAACGCGACGGCTCAGTGATTAAGACCAGAGTCCAGTCCCCAGGAGGCACATGGCAACTCATGGCTGTAACTTCAGATGGCCTTGTCTGGCCCCCTGTGGATACCAGGCACTCATGTGAAGCACAGACAAACATGCAAGCAAAACACTAACACACATAAAACAAGCAAACAGATCCCAGAAACCAATGAAACAGAGCCGAGCACAGTGGTAGGGAAGGAGGGTTACTTGTGTTCAAGAGTTCCAGGCCAACTTCAGTAACAGAGAGAAACACCATCTCAAAACAAACAAAAGAACTAATGAAAAGGTCAGGGTGTGGTAGTGTAAACCTTTACTCTCGCACTCAGGAGGCCTCTGCAAGTAGATCCGTGAGTCTGAGGCTAGCCTGGGCTACACAGCGAGTTCCAGGCCAGCCAGTGGTACACAGTGAGATCTGGCTCAGAAAAGTGAGTGAGTGAGTAAATAAATAAAAAGGAATGAAAGCTAGGGGTAAAGGTCACCAGGACTTTGCACCCTACAAAAGCTGCCTAGGCGCTAAGGTCCTCTCCACAGTGATAGGGTCATGTTTTGTCAGAATATTTTGTCCTGGGACAAAGTTCCTAGAACCTGGGAATCTCCCCAATCCTCCCAGGGAACGGCGTAGCTTCCAGGTTGCTGACTCACAAGAGCGAATGGGTCCAGACTTGGGTGGAGGTTCTGTGCCCTCCACACCTGAACCCCACCACCCTCCTGCTTTGTGATAAACAGATGGCGTTTCCCTGAGTTCTGTGAGTTGCCCCAGCAAACTGATGAAGCCTTGGTAGGCAGTGGGAACCCGGGCGCAGAGCGGCTGTCAGAAATACAGATGCCACAGCTTCGGGCTGGCAGAGTGGGGGTGAGCTCTTCAGCTGTGAGTGCTGCAGTCTCCAGGGGGAAAGCATCAGGACTGAACTGATGGAGGGCACCAGACACACAAGTGGAGGGAAAAGTCACCTTGCCCTGTTGACTTATAGGCCAAGATAATCAGGGCCCCTGGCTGTTGGAAGCTGTGTTAACCAGAGGCTAGACTTCCTCACGGTAAGACTGACTCTGCTGCTGGTGGTGTCTCAGCCCGGCTCTGAGCTGTCTGCAGATCCTTTGCCAGGGTGACTGTGTCAGCACCCGAGGTGGGCAGAGACTTGGAGAGGACCTGCCGGTGACCCTGACCTCTGCAGGCCCACATGGTTCTGATCTCGCATAGGCCCCTCAGCTAGCCCTTGTCTCTCTGCTGGCTTTTACGAATGGGAAATCTTCCAGAGTCACACAAACTACTTCTAAAAACCAACTTCTCAAAAGCGAGCAGAACTTGTTCCCCGCCACACACCCCACTTCTCCTTCTCCTTCTGCATTTTGGAAGTTTCAGGCAAAAGCAAAAGAGAAAGAAAGATTTCCCCAAATCCCCAATCCTATTAGCTCTCACGACAGGCAGGGCTGGCGCAAGCCATTTCCGGAGGAAGGGCTGGATATGAAAAGTCCCTATTGTCAACCAGAACCTGTTTGGGACTTTCCAAAGGCTTGGGGGCCTGGCAGGGACTCTGACTATTGTATAACACCCCCCAGATATGTTCCTCTTACTCCTCTTAGACCATCCAACTCACAAACACAAACTTGGGTCCAAAGGAAACATCAGTGACTTCCTGTAACCATGAAGGCTCCCACTCACTGGCAGCTCAATTCTGAGCAACAGCACTGGGCTCTGAACCATGTGGATGTGCAAACTCCTTTCTAGTTCCACTTTCTAGCTGACATGCAAATATTTACCAAGTAATCACAGCCTGCCAGACAGGGCACAACCAGACATGGCAGTCCTGTTGGGGGGTACTTCTCAGTTCTTTCTAGGAGAGCATTCCAGAGAACCATGCCCAAGTTGCTGCCCTCACTCTGGAGCAGAGTGCCAGGGTAGGAGCTTTGCTTCAGGGTAGGACTCTCTGCTTCAAACAAACAGAGCCGCTGGGCGTGGTGGCCAGACATGGTGGTGCACTCACGAGGCATAGGCAGGTGGATTTCTGTGACAGCCTGGTCTACACTGACCCTTTGTCTCAATACACAAACTGTTTATTGAGGGCCTGGCAGGGACTGAGGGAAAGGAAACTCAGTAACTGGCCCTGGCCCATCTGATGCTCAGAGAGTCATCTTCTACTCTAACTGACAACAGCTTCATTGATGATGTTTTACAGAAAACTACCAGGACTCTGCTTCTGTGTCAAATGCTGGTTCTTACCTACACGGAGGGGATTAAAGACTAACAAATTCCCACACCCAAAATCCAGATCCACTCAAACCCCAGCTCCCCAGCGGTGGGGGCAGCGGTCCTGTGGAATTAAGCATTTCTGTGGGTTCTGTGAGACGGTATGTTAAGCGGGCTCGCATGCTTCCTGCTTCTCCCAGGCTCACCTTGCTCTTGATCTGCTTGGCTGTGTCTGTGAGGAAGATGGAGGAGTTGGGGTCACTGGCACTCATCTTGGTCTGGGCACCCTGCAGGGCAGGGAAGAAGGTCGAGTGCAGCAGGGCAGGTTTAGGGTAGCCGATCCTGGGAGCCACGTCCCTCGTCATTCTGAAGTAAGGGTCCTAGGTGGAGAAGGCTGGGGTGAAGACAATGGGACCAATGGCCAGGCTCTGGCCAGTTTCAAACTGACTTCTCTTCTCTCACCACTTCTATCACCTCCACCCTCCCCAGGGGAGCCCTGCAACCGCAGCTGGCCCCAATTCACTTCCCACAGTCGGCTCTGCCTCCAACCTGGTCAATGGCGCATGGGATGAGGCACTGGATGTCCGTCCTGTCTCGGAAGATCTTCGGGAAAGAGTTGCTGAATGATGGTGCAGCCTGGACAGCAGGAAAGCTGATCTTCCCTAAAGAAGGGAGACACTCTTAGATGTTGGGCTAACCGCTGTTCTGGGTAATCAATCCAGTTAAAGGGATCAACAATGGGTTTCCTCCCACTGAAAAAGACTAAAGAAAGCCTAAAAACACAGCAAGGGAGCTAAGTAAAAGTTGAGCCCTACCCCAGGGCTCTTATCACTTTCTTGTCTGCATTTCTCAGTGTGCTCAGCTGTGTCCATGCCATGCACTCTTGTGCAACTTTCCTCCTTTCAATGCCTCTGGCTGCCATGGCCACCAGCGCCACCCTTAAGGGCACAACACCACTCCGGCCATTTCCAGGAGCTTGCTACTCTTCACAATGGCAGAGTACCTCCTGCCTCTTACAGATACGCACATTCAGGGGCAGGGTGCTTCCACAGCCTGCCACAGCCGCACACAGCAAGTGAGGAGCTGAACCAGGACTGACCCTGGGGTGTCAGGCAAGGGTGCCACTTCTTAGCTGCTCATCACCTCCATTGTGGGTCACCCTGGATGTTGTGACCCCAATTGTTGGGAATGAATCTGAACTATCAAACAGGAGTCCAAGGGACCACAAAAAGGTGGACACAGGGAACTGAAGGCCCAGGCACAAGTCTCAAGATGATGGCCTACAAAGGCCAATATATTGGAATGACAGAGACATGTAGAGAACCATGTGTATACAGTTGGCAAATACTGTGTGTATAAGTGGGGGGCAAAGCCATGGGAGGAGAGTAAGGAGGAGTAGGAGGGGCCTGTAGTTAGTAAAACTCCTCTCTTTATATATACTTAATTATTTATCTGAGACAGGGTCTCACATTGTGGTCCCTGAGTAGCCTGGAACTCACCATATAGAATCTAAGCAGAGAGACTGGGGCCCAGGAAAGGCTCCCCCAAGAGAGCAGAAGCTCCACCTGCCCTCCTGTAACTCTTCTAGGCTCTACCAAGCCCTATGGTGATTGGGATCACACCAGCATGGAGAACTCCAGCCAGCCTTGCCTGTCTGAGTCTGGTGGAACACCCACCTCTGAGTGTTTTAAATGAAGTTCTAACATCTAAGGTCTCTGGGCAGACTTGGGGGGTGGGTGTGTGTGGCTCAGTGGTAGGATTTACTACATGTATGAATCTATCTATCTCTTGGTGCACACACCACACTCCAGGTATGTCAGCTCAGGCTTTGGTGTTGCTGCTTTTTTTTTTTTTTTTTTTTTTTTTGT